CTGTAAGAGGCTGGGACTGGAGGAACACAGAGTTCAAGCTTGCCTGTGAGACCCTGTGTCAAAGTAAAAAGCAGAGGCAGGAGTACTTTAACAAGTTGGAACAGTAGAGGGGAGGGGGAAGAGGGAGAACTGGGGATATGGCTTACCAGAGAGCTTGCTTAGAATCCGCCAGTAAAGGGACTGGGGGCATGGCTCAAGCTTTGCACAACCTGTGCAAAGTCTTTGGTTCCACCCCAAGCACTGCCTTAAAGCAAAACAACAACAAAACAATGCTTTGGGTCTAGAGCAGTGCTTCTTAACCTTCCTAAGCTGCAGCCCTTTGATACAGTACCTCATGTTGTAGTGACCCCAACCATAAAGTTATTTTTGCTGCTACTTCATAAGTAATTCTGCTGCTGTTAGGAATCATCATTTCCAATGGTCTCGGGCAACTCCTGTGAAAGGATCAGTCAACCCCTAAAGGGTTTATGACCCACAGGTTGAGAACCACTGGTCCAGAGCAATGGCTCACCAGTTAAGTGAACTTGTTTTTACAGAAAACCTGAGGGTTCCCCCCTCCCCAGCACCTACGTGGTGGCTCACAGCCATCCATAGCTCCATTTCTGGGGACTCCAACACCCTCTTCTGATCTTCATGGACAGCAGGCATGCATAGGGTATGCATACATACATGCAGACAAAACAAAACTCTCATCCACCTAAAATAAATAATCTTTAGAAAGTTTAAAGGAATGTTCTGATTACTTGTCATTCTTGGAAAGCACACAAAAGTATGGCGTTTATAGAGATGCCAGCTTCCTACCAGATACAAATGAGATTCAAAAGGAAATTGGCCTGCCTGCTATTTTAGACAGTCTCAGCAGACTGTTCACCCAGCTACAGACCCAGCAGTCGCACAGTTACACTTGGGTGTGCAGGTCAGTGCGACAGAACAGTCGGTGCCAGAGGCCCATGTGTGCAGAGGAAACAAAGGCTGGTTTATTTTACTTACTTCAGTTGAAGACTTTGTGTGACATTGTGAACTGAAATTGTTAAAACTTTTTGGTTTTAACAAAAACTTTTAACAGTTTGAATCCCTTAAAGTGCCTTTCCTCAGCCCCATCCTTGCCTTCTCTTATCCTGGTCAATGAAAGACTCTACATTAAGCCCAGCAACAGTGTACATGCCTGTAATTCCAGCACTCGGGAGGCAGAAGCAGGTGGATCTCTGTGAGTTCAAGGCCAGCCTGGTCTACAGAGTAAGTTCCAGGACAGCCAGGGTTACACAGAGAAACCCTGACTTGGAAAACCAAAAGGGAGGGAGGGAGGGAGAGGGAGGAGCGGAGGGAAGAATTAAGAATGAAGAAAGGAGAGGTGCTATTAAAGAAAGACTGCATTGTTTTAGGTGGCTCAGCCCAGCCCCTGCTTACTGGGTTATGTGCCTCTCCCGTCTTCTCTCCTCTCCACACACTTGGAATTCCTGCTGGTTTCCCAACTAACCTGACTCCCCCATCCCTATGCACCTGCATCCCGAGGAAGCAGTCTTTGAAGAGTCCACTCTCTTTGTCTAAGATGCTCTACAGGAATCACCTGTGACGGAGTGGCCTCAGTTTAGAAAGCTGTCTTTCCATAGCTTTGCATGTGCTCTGTAGCTGTGACAGTGCTCATTTCTCTACAGGTATTACAGATGGAGGACATGGCAGCAAACTTGCCAACTTTACAGGGGTGTCCTCAACAGAGGAGCCATTGCATATTTATACTCGGAGAATTTGTCATTGATTACAGTAGAAAACAAACACACACAAAAGAATATCACATACACTGTCTAGTTAGGCTTCATGACCAAAAAGCAACTTAAGAAGGGAAGGGCTCATTTCACTCACAGTTGCACATAACAGTCCATCATGGAAAGCAGTGAGGGCAGGCACTC